AAACTGGCTGGCTGATTGATAATTGGGCACAAAGGCGGCCGAGTTTCACTTACGCTGTATGCTTTTTAAACAGGCGTATGTTAATGATCTTATGGCTGCCGCTGACTCTGTGAATAATATAATACTCTATAATTTTTCGTTGCGGGTTAGAATATGGCCTATATGATAAAACACGGCTTAGACCAGGGATTTAAACTATCTGAGCGGAACACGTTTTTTTTCTTGTTAGCTTACAGTTCTTGAGCAGGCTATCAAATAGCGCGGCTGATGCATTCGTGGTATAAATTTGAAGTAGCTTGATTAATGTCTCAGTCTCCTGCCGAGGCATCATTTGTATGATCGCTTGATTTCGATACATACGCGTAGTAATTTCAGAGGATAATCAGATAACGCTTTTAGATGAAACTAAGTAGATAACTAGTAAAACTAGCAGTAAGATTAGCTTAATCCGACGAAGGTGGTTAGAGTGACAAGGATCGAGGATACTAAATCAGTGACTTCAGCTTAAAAATTTCTTGCAATTTATCTTTTTTTGCCTTTTAAAGTTTACTTTATGTGTAGTACATAAGCAGCATTATTTTGTAGATTTGGAACATAGCAAATTTCGAATGCAAAAGATTCCTAGACAAGAAAGGCTTTTTCGTAGCTTTAAAGCTCATTGCTTTGGTGCAGCAGGGCCGAGAACCGACGGTTGCCAACCTCACTGCGGACATCGCTCCTCCGGTTATTGTAAGTCTATGATAAGCAATATTTTAGACCGACATTTTCATCTTTTCTTTTAGACCAGTAAAAGAAACGAGTTTCTGAATTCGATGAGGAGCGAAAAGTTAAACCAAATAACGGTAATTTTTCCGTGATTATGGTTTTTCTTCTTGCGGAGGAGAGGGCATGTGGTTCGATATAGTTACCTTCTTTACTGTGTGAGTATTTGCAGTTGTTACTGCAGAAATATACTGCAGCGCCTCAAAGCGACGCAGCGGAGGCTTTAGATCTGGACAGCGACGATAGCAGAGTGCTTTTTTCAGCTACAGTGTGAAGGTATTATGCTGTCGACATAGAGAAAAATCGAGGCTCTAAAGCTAAGTCTGGGTGGTACGACGTGTTCCTACTATCCATGTGGTATTTTATGATGAAAAAAGCAGTCCAAATGGGCATCGGGAATCACCGTTCTCTGAATTCTCCGTATCCCGTACCACAATGAAGTTGCGAAGTCCACTCTAAAGAGGCTGCTAAAAATCTCAGGTACGAGGCCATTACAGAGAAAACGCAGAGAGGACTTCCTCATAGTGTGTGCCTACAGTTTTAAAACATTAACGAGAATAGTTTATTAAATGCGGGCGAACTTGTGACCTCGTCAGTCGCTGTGAAACACGATGAAACAGGTAGTCAGAGATGGAATGATTAACGGCAACACCATAACGTTGTGAAAGAGAGAGGGAACAAGAACCACTTTATGAACCAGCTTCAACAACAAAAGCAAGAAATGCTCTTCAAAAGTCTCCTCTCCTGTAAATTAAGAAGATACGAATCAGGACGCGCCGACCGAGAATCATACTGTCGAAATCGTTTGATCTACACTGTCATAAGCACAAACAAAGATGACCATGTGAAAGTGTTCTAAGAGTAGTTTCAGAAAATACTGTCTTAAAAATGTACATGCACATTTGGGAGACTTCAACACGAATGTTCAGCCGAAAGAAGTCAGAAAGTTTATGGTGTATTACTACTTAGTGAACAAAACTCACAACGACGACGAACACCGGGAGCTCTTGCAATTATGAGAAAAATGTTCATTGACCTCTTAA